GTGGAGCAAGGCATGTTCCAATTTAAGGCCACCTACCAGACTCTTTCTAAAATGTTTTACGATGGGCCACTGGGCTTCAGACTGTCCCAGTACACAAAGAGGTGCACGGCCTGACCCTAGCCCCCATATTCTTGTAGGGCTAGCCATCGATGATTGATGGGGTCTCAAGACTCCTGTATCAACATATCCAATAACCGTGCTGGAACCCAGGGTCCAAATGACTGTCCATGGTCACTTTCCTTTCACCAGGGGTTGAATTCAGGGGCACTCAAACATGGAGCCACATCCCCAGCCCCTATTTTGTATTTTATTTTGAAACAGGGTCTTGCTAAATTGCTTAGTGCCTCACTTTTTTGCTTAGGCTGGCTTTAACTCTTGATCCTCCTGCCTCAGCTGCTGGGAATACAGCGGTGTGCTGCTGTGTCCAGCACACCTAGGATATTTCTTTGCAGCAAAAGTGGCATCCAGGAGAATCTCTGCTGCCCCAGGTCTTTTCTCCTTGTCCTACCCCTCCTTCTCTATCTCCTCCTCCTCTGCCTCCACTGCCTACTCCTCCATCTCCTCCTTCTCTGCCTTTACCCCCTCCTCCTATAACTTCTCCAACCCCTCCCCCTCTCCCTTCACCCCTCTAACTCTTCCAAACTACTTCCTCTACCTCAACCCCTCCTCCTCCCTTCCTTCAATCCCTTTCTCCTCCACCTTCCCTCCTCTTCCTCCTCCCCCTCTTCTTCCTCCGTCCTCTCTCTTCCTGCTGTACTCCTCATCCCTTGTCCAGTCTTCCTCCTTCTCCACCCTTTCTCTACCTCTATTTCCTTCTCCACCTCCTCCTCCACATCCTTCCTCCTCTATTTCCTCTTCTTACTCCTCCTCCATCACTTCCTCTTCCCCTCTTCTACTCCCTCCAACACCTTCCTCCTCCCCCTTTCTCCTTCTCCATCCCCTTTTCTTTCCCTCCACTTTCATGTCCTCTTCTTCCTCCTATATTTTATCCTCTGCCTCCACTCCATCTTCCTCCATCTCCTCCTCCTTATTTATGCCTCTTAGCCATACTCCCTCCTTCATCTCCACCATATTCTAAGCCTCCACCCCTTCCTGCGCCCCTACTTCATTCCCTTCCTCCTTCTCCCACCTCCTCCTTCTACCTCCTCCCCTTCTCCATTCTTTATTCTCCATCTCCTACTCTTCCCCTCCTCTGCTCCCTTTTTCTTCCACCCCCTTTCTCTTCCTTCATCCCTCATCCTCCTTCTTCTTTCTTTATCCCTCCACCCCTTCCTTCTCTCCCTTCTTTTTTGTACACTGCTTTCTTTTCTCCTTCATCCTCCTCCACCCCTCTTCCTCTACTCCCTTCCTTTTTCTGCACTCCCTTTTTTCTTCCTGCCTTCCTATTTCTCCATCTTTTTCCTAATCCTGGCTCCTTCCTTCCCCATCCCTTCTTCCTTCTCGGCCCCCCTTCTCCTTTGTGCTCCTTTATTCTTCATTCCCAGCCCCTCCTTCTTTTTGTCCAATCTTTTTTTTTTTTTTTTTCCTTCAGTGGCCTCACAGCTGCAGATTTTGGCTTTTACCCCGACTAGTGACCAAAGTCTTGAACACTCAAAGTCCTATTCCTATAACTTTGTTCAACATGGACACCAGTGGGATTAAAGGAGGATTAAATGTCACAACATTCAGCTACTTATGCATATAAAGAAGATGGCAGTATCTTTCTGAGGGGAGAATCAGTTAAGATGTGGGAGGAGAGTGCTGCACATATGAATGTTGTAGAGGGAATTGTGCTGGGAGAATGGACACATTGGCTGGACCCATTAATGCCAACTTCAGAGCTTTGTTATAATCATTGACAAACTGGAAGAGAACATCAGCAACTCTGTGAACCATAGCACACCTGCCAGTAGACACCAGTCACCATGAGCCTGGTGGTCCCTGCTAGTCAGTGTGGCTCCCTCATTAGAAAACATGTTTATGAGATGAAGGAGATTTGACAGAGCACAGGGGCTCAATCCCAGGTGACAAGGACATTCTCCCTAATGCAGCTGGGTGGGCCTTTGCTATTGCAGGCATCTCTCAATCCATCACTGAGTGTGTCAAACAGATGTGCATAGTCATGTTAGAGTCCCCCCACTGGGTTGCTCATGCTATACTGCCCAAGATGCCATCTTCTGCAGTCCTCTTTTCAGGGATCCAGGGCAGGTACAGCACAAGCAGCAACAGTGCACACGTTTCCCACATCACCTCATCCATGTGCCTCAATCCTGATATAGAGAAACCCCTCTAGAGACCTGTGCCATTCAAGGACAGTCTGCCATTCCATAGCTAGCCTTGACCAAGTTGCACCAATTGGCAATGCAACACTCTCATTGTCCTGGGACACAATGATCACACGGGATTAAACAACATTGATTCCAGCTCTTCAGATGTGAAAGGCTGTCCAGCAGGTTTGCATGCACCTGGTCAGGCTACTCATAAACTCAGTGTCCCAAACAACTTGAATGGCTGCATAATCAGGTGTCAAGGCACCAAAACAAATGAGATCCTTCAGATGTCTGGAGCACAGGTGAATATTGTGAGCCCAGTGGAAGATCTACTGATAGCAGCTCACCATCACTGAATCTGCTGCCAGCAGTATCCTGGCTCAGAATCTCATCAAGCTCAGCCTTTCCTCAGAGAGAGGTGGCATGGGGAGTCATTGGAACAATGCAGATTGATCTCTTATCCCTTTCATCTGCTCACTGCCACTCATGATCCATCTGTTTAGTTTCTGAACAGTGATTCCAGGTTTTACATAGTTTGTAAATCTTAAGATTCTACACACTTTATTATCCACTCATGGTTGTTTAATATTGTTTGTTCTAATTAGTTATATATGACAGCAGAATGCATTTCAATTTATTGTACACAAATGGAGCATACATTTTCATTTCCCTGGTTGTGCACGAAGTACAGTCAAACCATTTGTGCAACCATACATGTATCTAGGGTAATGCTACCCATCTTGTTCCACTGCCTTTCCTATTTCCAGGTCCCCTCCATTCCTTTCACTCCCCTTTGACCAATCTGGGGTCTGAACCCAAGGGCACTAAACTACTACAACACATCCCCAGTTGTTTTTAATATTTTATTTAGAGACAGGGTCTCCTTAAGTTAATTAGGGCATCTCTAAGTTTCTGGGCTAGCTTTGAAGTCTCAGTCCTTCTGCCTTAGCCTCCTGAGCCACTATGGATTACAGGCATGAGCCACTCACTATGTCCCACTGAAATAATTTGTTTTATAGATTCTCAGTTTAGTATGAATCTAATCATCCATATGTCCCCATCCAAATAAAGGTCAGTGAGCCCTGGGCTGGCTGCCCTCTCTCACTGCTCTTCTCTACCTCTGCCTGGAGATAAGCTCAGTGCCAATTCTTTCTGTCATTCCTTATAGCTTAACCATAAGTGAAGAAGCAGAATTTTACTTGGTTTTGTCTTATTTGAGTTTTGAGTAACTCAATGTTATCATTAGTGCTCTATCTCTGTGGTGCTATAACTTGTATTGTGTGGATTCTCTGCCTCAGTTGGCTAGACTCCTATTGCTGTCTCAGGCTGTGGGTCTTCCAGATCTCTCCTTTTGTAAGAACCTCACTTCTTTCCAGTTTAACTTTTTAATCTTGATAATGTCATTCTTTTTAAAATTTTGGCCCCCAAGTGCACACACTTCAAATGTTGTAGACTTTGGAAAAACATTGTCAGGTTATAGATTATGGATGAATTCAAATTACTAGAAAATTCCAGTGCAATGTCTGGATGAGCTCTGACTATTCATATATGTGCATTTATGTCTTACACCTGTCTATCCTGGTTTATTTCATATCACCATATATTTCTTTTTACTGAATATCATTTGCATGAGCAATTTTCTGTGTATTTCAATGTTCTTGGAAAGGTTTTCAGTAATTTTCTCATGTTTATTCGTTTGTGAGGACATTTCTTTTTCCATTTAATATTCCCTTTGTGTGAATTTATTTTCCTTTGTAAATACTGCAGGCATTTGCCCTGAGGTAGAGCAGTCATCTTGCACCCTGTTGCAGTTTCATGAAGGAGCCTCATTTTTAATAGATTTGAGTGTATCACTCTCTTCTTTTGGAGTTCCTTTATCTTATCATTAAGAAAACCTATAAGACAGGGGGCATGGTGGGTTTTGAGAGATAAATCCTTAGGTATCCCCTCCTGGACACAGGGAATGAGGTCTCCTGGGGTCACATTTCAGCAGTCAGAGTGTGGCTGTCAATATGGGAATGTGTTGACCCCTCTGTGTGTGGGTATTCATTCTGAGCTGTGAGTGAGGCAGGCTCCTCACCTGGTTCAAGTGTTTTCTTTTGCTTTCACTGAGTTCTTTTTATTATTGTCATGCAATTAGTTTTTATGCACTTAATACTTGTACTTCCTGATTGTCTTTATATTTTTCTGTCTGAAAATTAGTTGACGGAGTAAAAGTGTGAGCAGGCCTTGCCCATGAAGCCCTGGCCTCTTCCCAAGTGATTTATGCCTGGCTCCCTCCTTCCCAGTCAGGCCTGACCAGGCGGCACACACCTTCTCTGAGATCAGGTCAGGCTGCCTTGGAACCAAGGCTGTAATTCCTCACATATGCCTGAGACTCTGTGCCCAGAAGAGCTTCCTAGCCAACAGGGCCTGCTGTGGAAAGCCAGGCTCAGCTCTGCATGAGTGGAATTGTCCCCCTGGTGGGGCAGGTCCCCTTGCTGGGAGGAAGTCCTGCCTGAAAAGGGCTTTTGCCAATACCTTGTCTTCCTGGCCTACGTACCCAGGAGCATGATGCATCTCCTGTCAGTCAGGGTCCCAGAGTGTGCATATTTGTGCTGGGGTGAGAGAGGGGTCTTGTGGAGCCCTGGCCAGTCAGAGGCCTGTGTCTCTCACCCTGTGGAGCTCAGAATCCATATCCAGGACTGTGTCTTCTCTGCTGTGTGAGGCCCAAGTGGCTTTGGCTCACATTTGTCTCTCTGTGACCTGCAGGTGCTATGAGGTCCACAGGAAGGAATTCTGGACTCCCCAGAATGCAGAAAATGGTGAGTGTGTGGGGCAGGTCTGGTCAGGTGGGAGGTAGGCTTGTTAGAAGTGGTTAACCAGCTGTGGCTGGCCTCTGGCTTCCCACTGTCAGCTCTATAGTCAGCCAAGAGTACCTGAGTCAGATGCTGCTTCATTTCAGCCCTTGCTTCCTTCAGTCCATGGTGTGGGTTGATCCAGGTCTGGCAGCCACTTTGGCAGAACCCTCTCTGCCCAGCTGGACCCCAGCCCTAGGTTCTCAGTGTGAAGTAAAGGCAGCAGGTCTCATGGGATCCTGCTTCAGGTGTGGGGCTCCTGGGTAGAAGATGCTGGTTTGGGGGTCTGTGTTCCTCTTCTGCCCAGGAGTCACCCTGCTTTCCCCAAAGTAGCCCATGCCTGGGTCATCAGTTGATCCTTAATATATCAGCCCTCTCCTCACATTACCAGACTCTACCTTGCCATCCAGCGCACAGCATCATCAACTCTTTGCTCCTCACACTACATTCATGTGGGCACAGCTTCAAAGATGTTTTCTGTTTGTGAATTTGCCATGTGATGAAAGCAGAGATCAGCCACCTGGAATTCTACTGGTAAAATACTTTGTGCCTCTCTTCATTTATCTTCCGCAGGCACAGATAATGTCATAAGTTTGTGTTGAAATTCCACTTGGCTCTTCAGAGGGTCCTCTGTCCTCTGCCATTTTCCTGTCCATTCCTGTGGCTGTGAAAGTGTGTCCTTCACTGCCTTGTTTCTTGTAGGGTGCAGACAATTTTGGGCCCTGGGGCAGCTCCTTTTAGAGGGCAGTCTGATGTGTGGGGTGTAGAATCTCAAGGGAGCAGCTGGAGGGTCTGGGTATGAGGAATCCTTTGGGATTTGAGCCATGCACTATTACCACTTGTATACTTCATTTCTTTCTTCCTTCCTCCCTCCCTCCTTCCTTCCCTCCCTTCTCTCTCTCTCTCTCTCTCTCTCTCTCTCTCTCTCTCTCTCTCTCTCTCTCTCTCTCTTTCTTTCTTTCCAGGGATTGAACATAGTCATGCTTAAACACTAAGCCACATTCCCAGCTTTTTAAACAATTTTTAGAGACATGTTCATACTAAATTTCATAGGGTCTAACTAAGTTCTAAAACTAGCTTTGAACTTTTGATACTCCAACATCAGCCTCCCAAATCACTAGGATTGGAGCCATGTGCCCTCACGCATGGCCTGAATACCCTCATTTCAGAGATTAGTTTTTATTGTTTTTTTCTGTTACACTTCATATCTTTTTTTATATAAACCTGCAGCCAGGTGCAGGTTTTTTTCTTTAAAACATGTTTAAGCAATTCCCCCTAATTTTCTATACCCATTGTCATCTGATTAGGCAAAGCTGTGAGAGGCTTTTTTAGACCTTAGATCGCACTATGTCCACTGTGATGTGCAAATGCAGTAATTCACAGGTAAGTCTTTCCTCTGTTGTTTCTGGAATTTGAGACCAGACACCCACACTGGGCACTCAGTGTTTCAGTCAGCTTTTTTGCCACTGTGAATAAAGGACTAAACAAGAACAATTGTAGTAGAGAAAAAGTTTATTTGAAGGCTAATGGTTTTAGAGGTGTTAGTGCACAGGAGGCTGGTTCCACTTCTTGGGGCTCCAGATGAGGCAGAACATCATGGTGGAAAACTGTGGCACAGGGAAACAGATCACATGGTGATCAGAAAGTAGAGCGAGAGACTCCATGTGCCAGATACAGTATATCCCCCATAGCCACATCTCCAATAAACCGCTTCTTCCAGCCACACCCCAGCTGTCTCCAGTTACCACCCAGTTAATCCTATCAGAGATTAAGTCACCAATTCAGTTAAAGCTATTTCACAATCATTTCTCCTTAAAATCTTCTTCATTGTCTCTAGTTTGAGCTTTGAGGGACACCTCACATCCAAACCATAACACTCAGGCTGCTGTCTTATATATTTTTATATATATATATATTAAGCATATATATTATGTATTATATATTCTTGTTCTTTATTATTCTTCACTTTTTTCCTTGTGTTCAATTGTAAATAAACTTTTCTCTTAATTGCATTTCAGTATTTCATTTCATATATAGAGAAGTTGATTTTTGATTATTAATTGATATTATTCAAGTTTCATCTATTACTTTTCACTCCTGACCTTGGGCACACATCTTCCTATTGCTTGCTTCCAGCTTTTGAAAATCATTTGTCCTGCTGCTGTAAACTTTAATGTAAAGCATTTCATTGAGACCTACATTGTGAACCCATTTGGGTCACCCCAACTTTGGGAAATGGCTTGGGGTCCAGGAGCCACTCCTGTGACACAGGAGATAGGGTTGATCATTTCAGCGTGTGAAAGTTGAGCAGTCATGGCCCTGTGAGGAGGTTTGTGTGAAGCCTCTGTGTATGTGTGGGTGTACTGGAGCCCCATGACTTCTCAGGTTCTGATCTCCCCCTGTGAGCAGGCTTTCTGGTAGGAGCAGCAGTGAAGAAACACCATCAAATGCCCCTGTTATTTTGCAGTAGAGGCTCTAGGGAGCGGGAAGCTAGAAATAAAAGTCAAATGCACATTGTGTCTGTGGTCACTGTGTCGCTCTCTCCTCCTACTTGGGGCCTGTGGATGCTGTCTCTGTGGATGAGTCTGAGTGTGAGTCGCCTGCACCCACCTGTGTCTGAATGGTGAAGTCAGTGATTTTGACCCACTGTCTGGGGCTATGTGAGTTGGCTGGAGTCTGGAACACAGGGATTTTCTTCCTGGAGTGGCTGGTAGCACTCCTCTTGCTGTGTTGTCTGGAAGTGGTGACAGCAGGCATCCTTGACTTGGTTTTATCATGATGGAGGGAGCCCTTTGTCCTTCATCCTTGACTATCGGGTTAGGCTCAGGTTTTTTAGAGCTGTGGCCTATTAGGGATTTTCATTATTTCCAGGTATGTTTGTGTCATGAAGATGGCTTGAGCTTTGTCAGCCACTTTTTCTTTATTTTTTCCAGGTGTCAACACCTCTCCAGATGCACAATGCATAAGTATTTTCTACAGTTCCTCGGGGTGCCATTTCACTCTGATTGTTTCCTACAAAGGAAACATTTCCCTCTTTAGTGTTGATTCACATTTAAGTTGCACATGTTGATGAGGAGCAGTGAGCCAGTTGCACACCTGTTCCAGTGTGTCATCATCAGATCAGGGCATTAGCTCTTCCATCTGTTAACATTTATCATTTCTTGGTGTCTGTGGACTGCTCCCAGCTTCATTATGAAATACACAGGGACATGCTGTGCACCCCTGTCACCTCCTGTGCTGGAGGGCAGTACTGCTGGCCCTCCTGAGGTATTCTTGTACCTAATACCCAGCCTCCTTCCTCAGGCCCACCCTGTCCTCCCTCCCCTCTCTTCCTCCCTCTGGTGACTACTCGTGTACTTTCTGTAAAATCACCTTGTAGCTCACCCTGTGAGTGAGACCAGACAGCATGGCTCTCTGTGCTGCCTTATTTCACTTAGCAGGGTGTCCATCAAAATTTTTTTTTTCTAATTGTCTTCTGTATTTCAATAGTGTCTGTCATGATGTTTCCTTTTTCATCACAAATTTTACTAATTTGAGTTTTCTCTCTCCTCTTTTTTAGGGTGACTAATGATGTATCAATTTTATTTGTTTTATTTTTTTTTCACAAAACCAGTCTTGTCAATTCTTTGAATTGTTTCTTTTGTTCCAATATTATTGATTTCCACCCTGATATTAAATATTTTCTGTCTTTTAGTTTTGGTGTTTGTTCTTCTTTTTCTAGGTCTTTAGGTTGTAATGTCAGGTAGTTTATTTGTTGATTTTTTTATTCTTATAATGAATGAACTTAATGTTATGAAATTTTCCTCTTTGTATTCCCTTCATAGTGTCCCAGAGATTTTTATATGTTACATTGGAGTTCTCACCTATCTGTAAGAATTTTTTTTTTTAATCTCCTCCCTGATGTCTTCTGTTATCCTCGAGTCATTTGATAACATATTATTTAGTCTCCAGGTGTTGGAGTAGCCTATATTTTTTATTTTATCTTTGATTTCTAATTTTACTTCATTTTGGTCAGATAGAATGCAGGATAGTATCTCTAGTTTTTGTATTTACTAAAACCTGGTTTGTGGCATAACATATGGTCTATTTGGAGAAGGATCCATGTGCTGCTGAGAAAAAAGTATATTTGCTTGTTGATGGATGGGATATTCTATATATATATATATCTGTTAAGTCCAAATGATTATTTTATTGAGTTCTATAGTGTCTTTGTTTGGTTGTTGTTTGGAAGATCTTTCTAGTGATGAGAGAGGTGTGTTAAAGTCACCCAGTAGTATTGTGTTGTGGTCTATTTAATTGTAGTTGAGAAGAGTTTATTTGATATACTTAGATGTCCAATTGTTTGTGGCATATTTGTGAATGTTATGTCTTCTTGGTGTATAAATTCCTTAAGCAACATGAAATATCCTTCTTTATCCCTTTTCACTAGCTTTGGTTTGAAGTCTACTTTATCTGACATGAGGACCTGCTTGTTTACATGGTCCATGTGAGTAATATGTTTTTTCCTAACCTTTCACCTTCAGTCTGTGGATGTCTTTTCCTGTGAGATGAGCCTCTTGAAGGCAGCATATTGTTGGGCCTTTTTAATTTTTTTTTATTCCAATCTGTCAGTCTATGTCTTTTAATTGATGAGTTTAGGCCATTCACATTCAGGTTATTATTGAAATATAAATTGTATTCCTGGACATTTTGGTTTATTTTTGGTTTTTACCTTGACTTGGTTTCTCCTTTGATTGGCCTTTCCTTTACTGTAGTTCCTCCCTTTGCTCACTGTTCATTGTTGTTTTAATCTCCTCCTGGGATATTTTGCCAAGAACGTTCTCTAGTTCAGGCTTTCTCCCTACAAGTTCTTTTAACTTATTTATCATGAAAGGTTTTCACTTTGTCATCAAATCTGAAGCTTAATTTTGCTAGATGTAACACTCTTTGTTGGCATCCATTTTCATTAAGAGCTTGCTATATATTGCTCCAGAATCTCCTGGCTTTGAGAGTCTGGGTTGACAAATCTGTAGAGATTCAAATTTCTCTCCCCTTATATGTATTTGGATTCCTCTCTCTTGTGACCTTTATGATTCTATCCTTAATATGTATGCTAGGAATTTTCATTATAATGTGTTTTGGTGTAAATATGTTGTTATTTTGTACATTTGGTGTCCAGTAAGCTTCTGATGTTTGATTTTCCAATTTATTCTTCATATCTGGGAATTTTTTTGATATTATTTAACTAAAGAGATTGAATACTTCTTTGATTTAAATTTCTGTGCCTTCCTCTATCCCAATAAATCTTAGATTTGGTCTTTTGATGATATCCCATAATTCTTGGAAGTTCTATTAATGATTTCTTAGAATCTTTACTGTGTGCTCAACTTATTTTCAAAATTGTATATTTTGTCTTCATTATAACTGATGTTCTGTCTGTTGGTGATACTTTCTATTGAGTTGTTTATTTGTTTTATTGTTTACTTCATTTCAAGGATTTCTGTTTTGTTTTTTTTTTTTTTTCAGAATCTCTATCTCCTTCTTGAAGTAATCTTTTGCTACCTGTATTTGCTCTCTTATCTCTTTGATGGAGTGATCAATTTTTTCCTATATTTGCTCTCTTATATCATTCTTTAATTCACAGATCATTTTAATTATGTTCATTCTGAACTCCTTCTATGACATTTCATCAATTGTGCTGTTGTTTCTATTATTGCAATATCTTGGTTTCTTTGGGGCAACTTCTTCCCTTCTTTTTTCATGTTGTCTCTCTATTTTCCTTTCTCATAATGTGGATCTGACGTATTGCAGTTTCTACCCTATAATCTTGTAGTGTCCCTGAAGATTACCTCTCCCTCACCTTGGTGTTGAGCTTGTGTTCCAAGATGGATACTACTGCAGGTAAAGGTGGTGGTGGCAGTAGTGGAGGTAACTCAGTATAGCAATAGGGATGTCCCAAGATGGATTCATCCACTTTCAGAGATGGAGATAAAATGGGGGGCCATACAATGGCTTTGGGCTGCCTGTTCTGAGATACAGCACTTGGCCTGCTGTGCTTCAGGAGGCAGCTGCCTCCAATCTCTGTCTGTTGTCCAAAGGTGGAGGTTACAACTTGGGGAGGGCTATAGCAATGGCTGCAGTGTTCCAAGATGGAGGCAGGCTGGGGGAGCAATGCATTGGTAAATGAGGAGCCCCAGCATGGTCCTCTGCTCTGTGCAGAGGCAGTCCTGGGCCTGGGCTCTCACACATGTCAGCAGGGATGGTACTGTGCCTGATTGGGTCTGGGCTCCCCTGTGAGTGGCCGGGATGGTCCTTAGCCTGGGCATGGGCTCTGGCATGGGTCAGCAGGTTGGCAGAAGTAATGGGCTTGGGCTTCTGAGTGGCAGAGATAGTTCTATGTAAGGATTCTGAAGTCTCTGATTGCTTCATGATTTTGGCATGCTTGGTGGTAGGAAGTTACTGTGCAGAGGCACAGAATATCTCGCTGCTAGGAACACTTCTGTGCAAATCACAGAATGCCTGCCTGCTGTTGCAATTTGCCCTCCATGAGGAGGCTCTGTATTAGAGCCTTATCAGCTTTGACCTTGATCTCAGGTCCACAGCTCTTTGGAATAAAGAAACTCACTTGTTAGACAACCACAAAATTTCACCAAGCTCCTCTGCACCTGAACCTGTCCACATAACCGTAACTTTAAACATTTGACTTTCTTGAGAGCTTTACAGAGCTTCTAACATTGCACCTTGCAACTATAGTGTGTAACCAAGGAATAAGCTGCATAATATTGCTAACTCTATAACCAGCCTAATGACACAATGAACAATAATGTACTACTGATGCCAGGGACCTAATATAACTTATTGATTTAAATAAATCTGGCAGCTTGGACATTCGGTCATTCTGCCTCTGTACCTTGCTTCTGTCTACTTTTGATTTTGTATAGTTCTAGGCCTGGGGCTGGGCTCTGGCTTGTGTCTGCGGGTCTGTCAATCATTTCTTTCATATGTGGAAGCTAGTGCAAATTAAATAAATGAAGATGGTGGAGGATCAAATATAAAATGTAGGGAAGATCATTGGAGTAGGAGGAGACCAGAGGGAGATTGGAAAGGGGAGGATACAGAATGCATTTCATAAAACCATGTTACATGCATATGTAAACACACCACGTGGAATTTCATCTTTATGCATATGAAGAAAGTACCAGTAAAAAACAAGAAAGTAAAAGAGCCAAAGGAAATCAGTAGAGCAGAGGAGGAGAGGTGGGGAGGGGAAGGAATGGGAACTGAAACCAAATTTCTTGCATGTGTAATTTTGTCAAAATGAAACCAACTGGTATGTATAATTAAAATTCTCTAAATAATAATAATAATAATCCCAAATTGCTGAGGGCCTGGCCAAGCTGCCCAGGATGACTTGCTTTCCTGTCTGGCTTTGGTACACACAGGGGGACTACTCCATGCACTTCTCAAACCCAATCACATGGTGGCAGTAGAAAACCACCAGCACCATCCAATTCAGAGCCATTCCTCTGGTGACCCATCCACAGACCAGGTAAGTTGTGATCTCTCTTTCCTCTTACCTTGGGTAAGGAGTGAGTTCCAGCATGTCATCTAACATCTCCTTTTTTGCACTGGTATACCTGTGTGGTATACTATGTACCTTTGCACTTAATGGGGTGGAAGTTGCTGTGGTTTCCCTGCTGTAATACACTCACCATTGGGCAGCTGTGCCTGTTGGTGATGATCCAGAATTAGACTTTTTGAAAGAATCCAGCAACCATCTAAAGATAGCAGATGTGTGCTCACACTGCTGGCAATAGTCTTAGTGGTGGTCTCAACTTGTACTACCAGCTATATAGCACTCAGCTTTTCTAAGACCCCTGAACCATGTCTTTGCCCCCCTCCATAGCTGTGACCCTGATCCTAATGGAATAGCTCATTTATTACCTTATCACTGCCATGGTCTCCACCCAAACCCACTGGGGTACCTAGAAGCATCCAATTTATAAGATACTTCTTGGACTGATTAATGTGTCCATGGCTCACAATTGCTTTATATCTGTGTGCATTTGGGAATAAGCCTCAATGTGTTCAGGCTCCCAGGCCCACCTCTGCTCTCAGAGTGTGGAACTGGGAGATGCCAGGACCTTACCATAGGGAGGTCTGCAACTGTGTGGGTGTAGTCCTGGAGGGGAGGGAAAGTTTGGACTTCACCTACAGCAAAAACTGGCTCTGCTTTATCCTTAACCAATCAGTGTGGTTAGCAGAAAGCTCAGGTCCTTGCAATTCAGGTGTTGGTGACCTGTCCTATCTCTTGGGGATGTGCCACCAGCATTTAAACTGCTTTCTCTAGGTTAGAAGACTAAGATAGCCAGGCATGTAAGATCCAGTTGGATTCCTTGCCATGTCCCATGGGGGGTGTGGTAGTTAGTGATGCCTTTCTTAAGGCCACACAGAATGGAGGTGGACAGTAGGCCCAACAGTAAGCACCCTTCAGACAGCTCTGCCTTTATGGAGATTGCTGCCCGGGCCTGAGGCAGCATGGGCCATTGGTCTCCTCTGCCCCTGCAAACCCGGCACTGGCCCATTTATTTCTCTGCCACTGCCACCATCACCACAGCCAGTTTGCATCCACGGGGATGGAAGCTGTGTCTCTATTGCCTCCCCTTCTGCCTACTGGCCCTCAGCTGACCAAATGCATAGAGCTTTTAAAGTTTTCTGCCAAATATTACTCTGCCTAAAATCTTCTTTTTCCCTTTTTCAACATATTTCTGTACTTATTAACATAATAGAATTTTGTTGCTTTCAATATCATTAGTCAATTTGAATCCTTTCATTTCATAAAACTCAAAGAAAGAATATTTTTCTGTGTAGCAGGGGAATTCTTTGAGTATATTTACATGCAGCTTTTTCTGTAGAATTGTCCTGCCATGCTTCATGTTATTTTTCCTTATTTGCCATTCTACCAGTATATTTAAGATCTCTTAAAAACTTTTGTAGTTTGTTACAAGGTGCTCAATATTCTGTTGCCTAACTTATTTAATTATCGCTTGTGATTTTTCTTATCATATGAATATTCAAAACTTTGAAATATGACACTCTGCCAAGGGTTAATAAGTTTTTCTCAAGCATGATATAAGAAAAGTAAGCTCTGGAACCCTCAGGTTTGTGTCCCTCATGCTAGAGATGCTGTGTCCCTGGTGGGAACTGTGTTCTGGCTTTTCTGGATCCAGATCCTGGGCTTGCAGGAAGGGCTCAGGACAAGCTGAACCTGGTACAGCTTAACTGAGACTCAGTTCACCAGAAAAAGTGTTCAGCCTTCCCTTAAAGTGACTGCTGAGGTCCCTTGGGGGCCAGAATGTGTTATGGGGCTTTTAGGAAGATGATTATCTCTCAATCGAGGGAGGAAATAGCAAGCTCCCTGGACAATTATGTCATGAATGACTTTAACCCTTTCTATGCTTTGAAATGTGCTGGAACACACAGAAGCACAAGCACCAAATCTGACAGCTAGGGACCGTTACAGGGACACAGACATGGAACTGCCAGGAAGGGCCACCAGAGAAGCAGAATATTACAGCATCAGGGTTTCCCCTCGGTCACCCCTCCCTGTGGCAGCCAGTGCTGCAAAGCCTTCAGATGCGCCTTGTGCTACATGCAGAGAAGACCTGCAGCAAAGCTGGCCATCTGAGCAGAGCTGCTGGTCCTCTCCCAGCCTCTCCCACCCTCACTGCAGCCACCAGGCCACGCCCACCAGGACCTGGGAGTCACAGCTCACTGTTTCTTCCACGAAGGCCCCATCTTGTCCCAAGATCTCATTCAGGATCCCACGCTGCATTTAGTTGTGGACTTTGATACCTTCAAAGATATTGAAGAATATTGATTGGTTATTTTGCCAAATGAATTTGATAATAATCGTTTCCTGCATTATCATTATTGTGTTATGAGGTCAATGTTTTCCTCAATATTATAGGTTAGCTTTTACTATTGATTCACAATTGTTTGTAAGAGGATGGAGGTTGTGCTTTTTAGAGTCTGGCTGTATATGAAGAGCAGAACTCTGATTTGTGCAGTGACAGGAAGCCATATTGGATCATGTGTATGCTTACACACACACACACACAGAAACAACAACAAAACCACACAATATCAAAACAACAGTTTAAAAACATTCAAAAAGACAAACAGCATGGACAAAAGTGAATTATAAACCCACAGTTGACACTACTGAAAATTCTATGTAAAGTACATCTTGTGACCATCCCCAGCAAAATATGGTAGTACATATTAGGCCACACAAGATCAATGCCCACAAAAAAATTACAAAGGTTAAAATCATTTTGTAAAGCTAATGTCTAGCCGCTTCCACCTAATGAACTGCCTCTGACTTGAACCCATTTGCCTTCATCACAAAACTTCATCACAAAACTTCATCACAAAACTGGATCCTAATGATCTCAGACAGCATCATCCACTGGATGCTTTCACTCAGCTGAGAACTAGACTAGCTGGACAAGATCCAAGGAGCTGATTGCCCCACTGGTGCTCAGCCAAGGAGCTACAGGGGACATGAGCAGGCAGAAGGCCATGGAAGGCCAGGCAGGCTCTAAGCACGTGCTTAGGCAGCAGATGGGGGAAAAAGTTAGTGGGGGAAAGTGTCCTGACGTCCACCACTCAGAGCCATGTCAGAAGGCTGCTTCTGGTTATGTCATTTACTGAAAGGGAACTTGAGAGACTCTTTGGAGTCTGGGTGACATTCTCCTTCTTGGCCTGTTCACTAAGAATTAAGGGGGTGAACTTCATGTTATTCATGTGAACTAACATTATGGTTTTACAGGAACAAATTTTATATTTTAGTAGAATTTTAAATGAAGGGAGTCATTATTCACTTTAGTGTGTGTTTGGAACTTAGTAGTAATGGCCTGTGTGATCAAGAGGTCCAAGAGGGTGCCTGTGCATGGAGGAGGAGGAAGGAGACCACACCAAGGGCCAGAGGGTACAAACAGTGCCAAAGCAGCAGCTGAAGACAGCACCAGCTATTCCCACACCACCCTCTCCAGCTTCCTCAACAGTACACTGCTCAGTGCTGACCACAGGGCTAGTGGACAGTGAGAAACAGGAGCAGAGGACAAGAGCAGCAGACGCATTCCAGGAGAAATCCTGGAAGCACGTCTGCGACTTCAGTGGTCAGCTCGCGGCACCATGAGCATCACTTCTGTGGTTGTTCCTCCTCCAGAAACACCTTTTATACAACTGCTTTGCCAAAGGATCTCCAGCTGGTTCCTCAAAGAAAATAGAATCCACCCCTCCCACTTCAGGAAGCTTCTTCACCAGGTCTCTCAACCTTCTGTCCACGTCCCAGGCCTCCTCAGGAGATGGCTCTGTTCTATTTTAGGGCAAAAGGGGAATATTGCAAAGCTTTGCACTCACCATGTTAGAAATAGTCATCTAACTTGCTTTGGTGTGGGAAGTGTGAGAAGGAACAGTATATGTAACATCTGGGAGGACACAGGGAGTCCTCAGGACTTTCCTGTCCAGCTGCATCTTCTCCTGTCAAGGAAGAGTGAGTACAAATGAATCTGAGCTAAGGAAGGAGAGAGCAGCTTGCAATGCCAAAACCTAAGGGACTTGGCAAATGTCCCGGAGACAAATGGGCACCCACCTTGGTCTCTATGGGCAAGACACAAATCTGCATAGTTGATTAGATACTGATTACGCCTGTGGCTGCATTAGCTATCCTCTTATATGTCCTGATTAACATTCCAATTCTACCACACAGGGTCTCTGACAAGCAAGAGTGACTTCAGCTCCTGGCACTGAGCATCTGTTCTGCAGACATTTTGCCCTGAGCCTAAGTGGTCTGTTATTTAAACCAAAGGGAAGATGCACCCTTTCAGAGCTCATCTGCAGTGACCACCTCCTCCAGCGAAACCCCACTTGCCTACACTTAACTCCCAGTCAGTCCATTCACAGTAAGATGGACTGACAGAGTTATACCACCCATAGCCCAGTCATTTCCCTCCTGAATACCCCTGCATTGACACAGGAGCTTTGGGGATACCTCACATCCAAACCATGTTTTAAGCTCCGTGTTTTAAGAGCCACCTCAGATGCACCTCAGGTAGGGAGCCTGCCCCAAACCCTCCTTCCACCCAGGACTGGCATTCCCCCCGTGGTCATCCATGTGGTCTTGATTCTTCATCACACAACTTGATCCTAATGATCTCAGACAGCATCATCCACTGGATGCCTTCATGATTGGACCTTGAGAACGTTCCCCAAGGAATGTGGAGAAACAGCTGCACTGTCTCAATAAAGATTAGACACAATGATAAGAGCATGGTCACCTAGGTACTATGTCACACTGCCCCCAAGCAGAAAGTAGAAATTTGCTTTTTTATAAAGAGCCTGTTATTTAACTCTTTATTCATACATCATTTCAAATTCACAGAAAATTAGCATGAAAAAAATAATACAACTAATTCCAATGAACTCTAAATCTAGACTAACCTCTGATTAACCATGCACCTGTTTTGTTCATATTTTCTCTCTCCACTAAACCAGAACACCTCACGACCATTTCCTCTAAATATCCACTATGTATTTTGTAATGATATGAATATTTTCCCCTAGAAGGAGAAAGTCCTTGTCAACTTAGGTATATAAGGTGGATCCAGGGTTGCTGTATGAGGACTCTGAATGCACAAGCAGTGGACAGAGGAGGCTCACCCCTGAGAGGATCAAAGGGGTGCAGCACTGTGGAGTAGGAACCCAGGAGACGGCACCAGGAGATCATCATCATCTGATGTGGAGAGAAGGAGAAACCATGGAACCCAAATCCCCTACTTTACTGTTTCCTGAAAGACAGGTCCCATACTCAACATTTTCCTCAGAGCCCCAGTGACATCCTTATTCCTGAAACTGTAGATTAAGGGGTTCAGCACAGGGGTGAGAATGGTATAAAACACAGACACCACCATGTCCTTCTGAGGGGTGTGGTAGGAGCTGGGGAGCATGTAGGTGTAGACGGCAGCACCATAGAAGAGTGTGACCACCATCATGTGTGAGGAGCAGGTGGCCAGGGCCTTCCTCCTGCTCTCTGCTGAGTTCATCCTGTGGATGGTGAGGAGGATGCAGGAATAGGAGCCTGAAATGACTGTCACAGGGATGAGGAGCATGAGGACACAGCACAGGTACATGAGTGTCTCATAGAGCGAGGTGTCTGAGCAGGAGAGCTTCATCACAGCAGGGACTTCACAGAAGAAGTGCTGGATCTCCTGGGATCTGCAGAATGGGAAGGTCATGGTGACAGGAGTCAGCATGAAGCCATCCACTGATCCCAGGAACCAGCAGCCAGATGCCAGGAGGAGACACACCCTGTGGTTCATGAGCATAGGGTAACGGAGAGGATGGCAGATGGCTATGCTTTAGTCATAGGCCATGGCACCTAAAAAGAAAAACTTAGAACCTGCAAGTGTCATATAGAGGAACATCTGTGTCCCACATTCAGGGGCTGAGATGGTACTTACACCCAGCACCTGATCCAGGAGCACCTTGGTCACAGTGATGGAGAGGGAGATCATTGAACTTCAGAGGTCACTGTCAGTCTATGCAAGAAAAACACCAGTTAAATGAGATGAGGTGGGGTTTTTAAATAGTGACAAAATAAATTAAGAATATGGGTGGACAGAAAACACACCTGGCCTTTCTTTAGGAAATCAATAATGACTTCTTTCCCATTTTCTCTTAAAGACAGTAAACATTTCCAGCTCTCTGGTTCTGACAGATTAACTGTTAAATTTGATGCACTATCTACAGGAGATTCTATCATCTCTTCTTAGAAAGACTAGCATGAGCTATAATGCAGAGGTGTTCTTTTAAGAAATTAAAGTTTTTGTTTGAACCCTGGTAACAGTCCCTAAAACCAGCTGTGGCACTTCACTCTTGACAGCCTTTGCTGGGAAGGGCTGAAGCAGAGAACACAGTGCTCCTAATGCTGTAGCTCAGTGTCCAGCATGACTGAGACCCAGGGCAGAAGACAGGAGAGGTGCATAGAAGGGGGAAGGAATGGTAGATGAGTGGGTGGGTACAAGGTAGAAGATATTTAGATGACACAGAGATGATAGGTGGATGAATAGACAGATTTCCTCTCCATCTTATCCTACTCTGCCGATAGATGAAGGGCAAGATCTATGGAGAATGAACAGGAATCACAATGGCTGCCCTATCTACCTCTGTGGACAAAGTGGAGCAAGACCAGAGTCCACCAGCCGGTGGGAGAAGTGGACAGCACTTGATGAGAGAACGGAGGGAGAGAGGAGGCCGTGAGGGGAAGGAGGCTCCTGGGGGAATCTCTGCCACTGTCCTGGAGCAACACATAGTGACCCCAAGACACCAGGGGATCAGGGAACATGGTCTGCTCCACAAACAGGGCCTGGCATGCTCTCTCTCATTCTTCTCTAGGCAGTTGCTGGAGTTTCATAGGAACAGCTGGTGCATGCTTCAGTAGGGAACTGGTAACAGTGCTGGTAGAGAAATACTCAGCCATCCCTAGAAACCAAAAGCATCCAGGGATCACTGTCTTCACCTTCCCCAGAGCCTCTGAGGTCCTCACATCTTGTTCTTCCTAGTACAGACTGACAATCCAGGGTCTCAGGCCTCTGCCTAACATCACACAAGTGACTCAAGCGAGGGTTTGTATCCTGCCCCTGGGTACAGCAGAGCACTTCACTGCTCAGTGTCCTTGGAAAAAAGTGTCCTCCCTCTGTCATGGACAGCTCGGATCTGGTCCACTCACCATCTATGTGCTTAGAGAAACATGAACATGCTCAGGATACTTGCTTCCCAGCATTGCTGCAATCTCAGGAGTCACCTCCATGTGAAGCAAGGACAGCCCTTCTCTCTCTGCAAAGTTGCAGTCTCAGGACAACTAGTACAGCTTCCTACCACCATCTGAAGCATAAGAAGGAATGTATAACATTATATGTCCATAAATAATTAGAAATAAAAACTCAAAATTTAAGATGTTACAGTAAATAAATGTATATGAAAGTTTTAAGATGAAATTTTATTTTATTTTTTTCTGAAAAACAGGTAATAGAGAAAGATGAGGAAATGCCGTGAGGACCTAACAGGGCACCTCAACAGCAGAACAGCAAGCCCAGCACAGCCATGGCCCTGAGCTCCAGGGCCACCTGCCTGGCTGAACTCACCTCAGAGGAGGCTGCGCCTCACCCAGATGGCCAGGGAGTGTGGCCTGGCTAAGTCACCAGGAAGAGGAGGGTGCCGTCACCCCTGTTTAGGATGCTCACAGGGGACTGGATGAGACATGTTTGTTCACAGATCCTCTGGGGCCTGGAGGACACTGCAGTTAGAGCTAAGGAAGCAGCAGAGCTCTCTGGGGCACAGCTCTGGGTCATCCTCATCCTGTCCTGTCTCCCTCTTTGTTCAACTCCAGACTTCACCAATGTTAACAGTCTTCTCCACTCTCACACTGTCTACAACACCTGACCAGTGACATGTAGGAGGAGTTAGTCTGGATTGGTTTATCAAACATACCCTGTGTGTGTGTGTGCGTGCGTGTGTGTGTGTGCGTGTGTGTGTTGTGTAAGAAAAGCATCACCTCCTCAGTGTCCTGGAAGCCTGGAAGGAGTCCTCCTCACAGGTCCACCTCACTCTCTTACGTCCCTGCTTGTGCTCCTTGTTTCCTGTCATTCATTGGCCATCTAGGTCATTGTAATTTAGAATTTAATTTTAAAGTATTTGTTTTTATTTCAACTACTGATATGCAAATTATTGAGAAGTCTCAAAGCACAAACTGTTTCATTGAAAATTTAACTGTTTATTGTAATATATTTACCCAGATAAAAACATGCTTTAAATGTTAAGAGTGGAGGGGAGGTGTAACTCAGGGATTATGGCTCCTGCTGAGCCTGCGTGAAGCCCTGAATTCAATAACTAGGTATGCAGTAAAATGAAATAAATCCTATCCTGCCTACAAACTACAAGTGTTTCAAACATCTGTTCAGTGTACACCTGTTGTGGCAGCTACAATGAAATAGAGGAAGACAGAAGCAAGCTCCTTCAACATCTGTTTTTTAACAGTTCCCTCTCAAAATTTGCAGTGAAATTCTTCTCAACTTTTTTTTAATCTATGTCTGAAACAATGCTTATTATTTTCCCTGACACGGAGGTCTTGTGACAGCCTGGGTCCACACACACACACTGTTGGCCAGCCTGCCTCCTGAGCTGTACCTACCTGTGACCTGCAGGGCTTCAGCCTGTAGATGGCTTATCCTGCCTCCTTGCCCCCTGGTTTCCTGTAACTCTGTGGGATGCAGCCCTGGGGTCCCCTCGAGTGTGGGAGAAACTAAGAAACTGGGACTTTTCTCCCTGCTGGAGATGGTCCATTGCAGCTGAAGCACCTGGGCACAACAGGGACCCTGTTGGCTCCAGGCTCCAGCATCCAGAAGGCATTTTGTATTCCAGCAGCACTGCAGGACGTGGGCACCTGGGTCGCTATGGCGTCCTGCCTGTGACTGGGCTACAGTCTCCACACTCAGTAGAGAGCGCACAGCAGATGCAGAGGGAGGAATGGGGTCCTTAGCTGACAGGCTCCCTTCTGCTCCACCAGCCTCACTTAGGTCATGGCCACTTTGCAGCCAACTCCTTGCATGAAGTCTCTTCAGCTTGAAATTTGTGGTGTTGCCTTTTATTAAAAATGATTTAATGTGGCTACTATGTATCAGGTGATTTAAACAGAAATACAGTCCCTTTCTAAAGGTGCACAGTTGTTCTATACTAAAAAACATCAATTATAAACAGAGCTGAAATAAAAATGCTTATACAGAAATCACTCTCTCAGTTAGTTTGTTTTGTAAAGTAATTCCACACAGGGAATAGTCATCCAAACATTTTGATATATAGCAATAAGTTGCTTTCTGTTAACCACCAAATCATGCTACAACATCCAGCTCTGCCTAAACCAGCCTGGAGTATGGTATTTTTCCACCTTAGTAAATTTATTAGAGTCATATTTGACTTGCATTTCTTGCTTACTAATATATCTATATGATTTTTCATGTTTCTCCATGTAAGGACCACTTTATGGAATGACTATGTTCTTTGCACATTTTTTTTAGTGAAATTTTTTCTTCATAAATATACAGTGATATACTTATGTATTCAAAGTAGTAACTCAGTATAATGGGCTACAACATTTAATTTCATTGGTTATTTTTATATTAGTTTCATCAGAATTTCCTGAAACATTATGTTTAATTTGACAAATTTAATGATTCCTTTCAGTGTTTGTGTGCTGGGAAAATCTTAGTATGTTTTGGTGTCTTCTAAAATATCCTCCTTCAAATTTCTAAGAAATGAGGTTGAGTTATTTTTTTTTTATTTTTAGTACATTTACTTCTGAGACAGCAATAATTTGTTTGGGGTACACTCTGCTGGTGGAACAGCATCTGGGGCATGGGGTCAAGTTTAAGTCTGGATCTAAGAAGAAAAATTACTAAGAAGTACATGGGGGTGTGGAAACGGGGGTCCACGCAGGATAGTAGGACAATGTTGAAGTTGGAAAGGATAACAAGAGCAAGAGCATTACAATGCAGAAAAAAGTCCCTAGTAGCTAGGGCCACTCAGAGATTCTAAGCAGGATGGAGTCTACTGGGAAACTCAATGGCCCTCCCTATTGTTTTTGGAATTCGAATTTGAATGTAATCCTAAGCAACATTCTATGTGTAAACTTTGTAGTAAGGTTTTAATGCCATTTTCTTGGAGGGGACAACTTTTTCTTTGGTTATGAGGATGAAATCTCTCTTGTACAAATGTCTGTTATTTCAACCAAAGAGAAGAAGCACCTTTCCAGGGCTCACCTGCAGTGACCCATCTAATCCAGACAAACCCCACCTGCCTACACTTAACTCCCAGAAAGTCCATGAAAAAAAGATGGAATGATTAAGTTATAGTTCCATAATCTAGTCATTTTCCTCCTGAATATCCCTGAGTTGGTACAGGAGCTCTGGTGAACATACCACATCCAAACCACATCTCTTAATGTTTCAAGTACTTCCTCAGATGCATCTCTGGTAGGGAGCCTGCGTGAAACCCTCCTTCCACCCAGAATTGGCATTTCCCCTATGGTCATCCATGTGGTCTTGAATCTTTTTCACATAACAGGATCCTAAAGATTTCAGAGAGCAACAACCAATGGATACCCTCATGGTTGAATCTTGAGAATGTTCCTCAAGGAAGGCAAAGAAAGAGCTGCACTGTCTAAGTAAAATTAGACACAATGATATGAGCATGTTATCCTAGATACTATGTCACACTGCCAGAAGCAGAAATGTCCTTTTTATAAAAGGAAGGAAAGCCTGTTATTTAACTCTTATATGTGATTTGAAACTTGCAGAATATTAGCATGAACAAGAATAGTACAACTAACTCCCATGAACCCTAAACTTCGACTCATCTATGGTTTACTGTGTACCCATTAATTGTCTACATATTCTTCACCATCCCTTGCCTCTCTCCACCTATCAATAGGACACTTTATGTCCACTTTGGCTAAATATCCACTATGTATTTGGTAATGATATGAATATTTTCCCCCAGAAGGAGAAAGTCCTTGTCAACTTAGGTATATAAGGTGGATCCAGGGGAGCTGCATGAGGACTCTGAATGCACAAGCAGTGGACTGGGGAGGCTCGCCCCTGAGAGGAGCAAAGGGGTACAGCACTGTGGAGTAGTAACCCAGGAGATGGCACCAGGAGATCTTCATCATCTGATGTGGAGAGAAGGAGAAACCATGGAACCCAAATCCCCTACTTTACTGTTTCCTGAAAGACAGGTCCCACACTCAACATTTTCCTCAGAGCCCCAGTGACATCCTTGTTCCTGAAACTGTAGATTAAGGGGTTCAGCACAGGGGTGAGAATGGTGTAAAACACAGACACCACCATGTCCTTCTGAGGGGTGTGGTAGGAGCTGGGGAGCATGTAGGTGTAGACGGCAGCACCATAGAAGAGTGTGACCACCATCATGTGTGAGGAGCAGGTGGCCAGGGCCTTCCTCCTGCTCTCTGCTGAGTTCATCCTGTGGATGGTGAGGAGGATGCAGGAATAGGAGCCTGAAATGACTGTCACAGGGATGAGGAGCATGAGGACACAGCACAGGTACATGAGTGTCTCATAGAGCGAGGTGTCTGAGCAGGAGAGCTTCATCACAGCAGGGACTTCACAGAAGAAGTGCTGGATCTCCTGGGATCTGCAGAATGGGAAGGTCATGGTGACAGGAGTCAGCATGAAGCCATCCACTGATCCCAGGAACCAGCAGCCAGATGCCAGGAGGAGACACACTCTATGGTTAATGAGGACTGGATAGCGAAGTGGATGGCAGATGGCCATGTAGCGGTCATAAGCCATGGCTGCCAGAAGGAAAAACTCAGAACCTGCTAGTGTCAAGTAGAGGAACATCTGTATCCCACATTCAGGGACAGAAATGGTACTCACACCTAGCACCTGGTCCAGGAGCATCTTGGGCACAGTGATGGAGATGTACATCATGTCCATGAGGGACAGCTGTCTGATGAAGAAGTACATGGGGGTGTGGAGTTTGGCACTGGAGTTTATCAGGATGATCAGGACAGCATTTCCAGACAAGGCCATCAGGAAAACCAGAAAAATGACCACACAAAGCAGAGCTGGGTGTTGGGATTGCCTGAAGAGTCCCACCAGCATGAAATCTGCCCACCCTGTGTGGTTGGTCATCCAGGTGGTGATGTCCATGAGGCTCTAACTTGGCCACCAAGAAAGCTTTGGGTTAATGTGCAGAGGGCTGAAGTGACTTTTGAGCTGCCACACACCTGTGCACCAGCCTGATTGTGGCAACCAGAGGACGTTCCAGAGCCTGTAGATCCTAGGAATTCAGATGACCTGTAGTAAACAATATTTTTAAAAAAGTATCTAAAAGCTCACCTGTGGGTGAAGTGAGTTGGTAACTTGTAGTGAGGTTGCAACAGTTCAAGTTCATGAACTTCCTGAAGAAAGCAGTTTGTCAATGACAAGTGCGTATATTCAGAA